ATAAGAGTTGTATGAGCCCCAATACAATGCTTTTTCAAAATGTAAAAATCGTTCTTTTCCCCTTCCTCCTCCCCCTCCTTCTTCATCTTCATCTTCTTCTTCTTCTCAGATGCGGTGGAGTTGGTTCCAACTCATAGTGACCTTGCGTACAACAGCACAAGAGTGCCGAGCCCTGCACCATCACCACGGTTTGCATCTGAGTTGATGGCTGCGGCCCTGTGCCAATCCCTGTCATGGACAGCTTGCCTTTCACTGACGCCACCAAGCACGTTGGCCTTCCCTAGGAACTGGTCTTTCCTGATGACAAGTCCAACATTTCACTATCCTCGCTTTTAAGGAGAATTCTGGCTGTGCTTCTTCCGGTAGATTTGTTCCTTCTTCTAGAAGCCCATGGAATGTTCCAGATGATTGCCAACACCTTAATTTAAATGCATCAATTCTTCTCAAGTCCTCTTTATTTATTTCCCAGTTTTCACATGTATGTACGGCAATTGAGAATACCACGGTTTGAGTGAGCTACACCTTAGTCCACAAGGTAATAGGTTTGTTCTTTAGCAGTTTAAGCAGTGTTTGTGCAACATATTTATCCAAGGCAATTTGTTCTTTCTTTCTCGACTGCTGCTTCCATGACCATTGATTATAGATCTTAGTAAAATGAAATCTTTGGCAACTTCTCTCTTTTATCCTTTATTCATTATGTTGTTTATTGATCTAGTTGTGAGAAGTTTTTTTCCCCTTCACATTGAGGTATAAACCATACTTAAGGCTGTTGTGGTTTATCTCCGTCAGTAAATGCTTAAAGTACACTTTGTTTTCAGCAAGTCAGGTTGTGTTGTTTGTGTATCTCAGGTTGTTAACGAGTCTTTCTCCAATCCTGGTGCCATGTTCTTCTCCGTATGGTCCAGCATCTCAAATCATTTGTTCCGCACACAGATTGAATAAACCTGGTGAAAAGATATACCTTATTTTAAACCATTGATTCCCTTTGTTCTGTTAAAAGCGCTGTCACTGCTGAATGCATAGGTTTCACTTGAGCACAATTAAGGGTTCTTGAATTCCCATTCTTTGAAAGGTTATCCACAGTTTGTTATATCCACACAGTCTAACGTCATTGCATAGTTAATAAAGAACGGGTAAACATCTTTCTGGTATTCTCTGCTTTCCAACATAATGATCCCTTGTTGTACACCCTTTTTAGAATTTGGCTTTGATTTCTGTCACTGCCCAGTTTATGTACCTCTGCAAGCACTTGTTAATTATCTTCAGGAAAATTTACTTGCATCTGAACTTAATGAGATTGTTTCATAATAACTTGTATAGGCTTCTGTATTAGTGTTCAGTACTGTCTTTATACTGTTTCTAAATTGAGGTTGGATATACTCAAAATTGTATATTGGCTCTCATGAACTTGTTTGAATTTTCTTCAGCTTCTACCTAAATTTTCACATGAGCAATGTATGATTTGTCCCTCCATCCGTCCCTGGACTGGATGGGCTTTATTCAAAGGGACCCTGTTGGTGCTGCTGGGTAAGTGTTGAACTGCTCACCGTGTTTCAAACCCGCCAGCAGAAACTCCATATAAGGTTGATCTGAGTTAGAATCAGCTCAATGGTAGTGGGTTTGTTTTTTGGCTTATCTGTATTTCATTGTATGATCCAGTTTGGGATATATCACTTATAAGCATCTTGAATTTATTCTCTTAATCTCTCAGAATATGACTCGACATTCTAAGTGCCTGACAGGGCTTTAGAACTCAGAGTAGGCTACGTTGGTTCGAATCCTGTCTCTTTCATTCACTCCCTGAATGACCTTGTACAATTTGCTATTTTAGGAAGATAATCTATTCATTGCACTTATATTCTCTTAGTGATTATCTTTAAATTTCATACAGTATTATTACAGTATATTTAACAGTTTGATTCGTTTTTACGTATGTATAGACTCTTGTAATCAACTAATCAATCAACACAATGAACATTCCCATCACCAGAAAATGTTTTCTCTGCGACTTTCTGCTCTTTCTGTCTCCTCCCTTTCCTAGGAAAATACTGGTCTGCTTTATCTCACTAGATTAATTTACATTTAGCAAATTTTATATAAATATAAACAATGCATTATTTTATTTTTGACGGCATTATTTTATTCAGCAAAATCATTTCTAATTCATTCATGTTGTTTGATGTATCTGTGTAGCATTCCATTATGTGGATATACAATACTGTATTGTTCTATTCATTTGTCTACGACACCTGTCCATTACAAGCAACATAAGTGCTTGTAAATAAAGCCTGTATGAACATTTGTGTTTATTCAGACAGATGCTTTTATTTATACATCTTATGGTAGATATGTTGGCCTTTTTTAAGACAAACACAGTTTGTGATGGGGTTCAATCATTGTAGATATATGTTGGCCTTTTTTAAGACAAACACAGTTTGCGATGAGGTTCAATCATTGTAGATATATGTTGGCCTTTTTAAAGACAAACACAGTTTGTGCTGGGGTTCTATCATTGTTCCTGGAGCTGCAGGTTCTTGCCTTCCCAAAATAAAGATTTACTTTGACAGACACAGAATGGAGTTTTCTCACAGAGATATTTTATGAAGAATCTCCCGGGAGAGAGAAATCACATCAGCCTGCACGACTGGCTCTCTTGGGCTTCTTTCCCACCTGCCCACGTTCTTGGGGAAAGAGGAAATTCTCTCCTGCTGGGTGGGGGTATTAGCAAGGACTTCTGGTAAATGTAGTCCCAAGATGATGCAGGGATTCTGCACATGCTCAGCCCAAATCTCCAGCTTCGCTCTGGTGCTTTGCCACAGCATCCTCAACAACTTTCTGCATGGCCAATTTTTTAATGTAACCATTTTCGTTGCCATATAATGGTATCCTGTTATATTGCCTCAGTTGGTCTTCTAAATGAAAAAAATTCATTATTTAGCTGGTGGACATTAAATTAGTTAGAAATTAGAAAAACGTAGAAATTAAATAAAGCAACTTCTAAACTAGCACACCTGTGTTCGTTATCATTTGTTGTTCATTCCCTTTGTGTCTCAAAACCACCTCACTGCAGTGACCAAGTGGAGCCCAGCACAAGTGAAGACAGCGAAGGGCTACACTGGTGGGTTTGCAGGTGTCTTTCTTTTGCTTCCAATCTCGCGTGATGTTTGAGCTGATTCTCAGAACCTTGGCGAGATGGTCTTCTGACGGATGAGAATTCTGCTGCCAATCTATTGCTGTTCATTTGCAGGCAACTATCTGTACCTTCGGGTTCTTTTAGAGAATCTCTGGATGTTTTTAAAACACCCTTTATCTTCCCTATGATGTGTTAGCTGTGGATTTACTCTTTTTATCCTGCTCAGAACATTCAGTACTTCTGATGTGAGAACTTTCTTTAATTCTGCAAAACTCGGTTATTTTTCTTCAAATATTGCTTCTTGGAATTGTCTTCTATAATTTCTAGTAAGTATAGCATGGAATTTCCTAAAAATTTCTTTTCTTTTTTTTGGTAGCTATTTCTTTTTTTATTATTATATTTTAAATAATCATTTTATTAGGGGCTCATACAACTCATCACAATCCATACATACATCATTTGTGTCCAGCACATTAGTACATATGTTGACTTCATCATTCCCACACACCCGCTTTCCACTTGAGCCCTTGGTGTCAGCTCATTTTCCCCTCCCTCCCTGCCCCTCCTCCCCCCAAACCCCTGATAATTTATAAATTATTATTATTTTATCATATCTTACCCCATCCAACGTCTCCCTCACCCACTTGTCAGCTGTCCGTCTCCCAGGGAGAAGGCCATATGTAGACCTTTCCTAATATTTTTAAACTGATTTTTAAAAATTATTTTATCTCTTTGTCTTTTTGTACTGCATTCTGGATAATTCCTTAGTCCCCTACCCACTGCCATGGAGTCCATCCCAGCTCATAGCCACCCTACACAGGGTTTCCAGACTGCAAATCTCTATGGGAGCAAGCACCCTCCTCTTTCTTTTGTGGAGTGGCTGGTGGGTTTGAACTGCTGCCCTGGTGCTTAGCAGTCAAATGCTTATCCTACAGTGCACTTTCTCTGTACTACATTTCAACTAAGTACTTATACATTTAGCCATGTGCAGTTGAGAACTTATTTGACAAGTAAGTTGAGAACTTATTTGCCTTATTTGTTTTGTCTTATCAACCTTTTTAGAAGCCCAACCAAGCCTAGCCCAGTGTCTCTTAGATAGAAGGTTTGCAAAATTACTGGTTAATTGAATGGACATAGCAAAGACCGTGTACGGTCTATGTGATCATCTTGCTTCTTGTTTACAGATATGGCACTCTATTAATAACCAAAGATCACATAAACAAACGTATGACTTTGCTTTTAAGCAAAACATACCATCAGTTATCAATACAAACACATTTTTAATTTTCTGTGCAAAATTAGAATGCATTATGTGTATGACAAAGGAGATCTGGCTGAAGCGATGACTTGAGTCTTCTTATTCCCCTTTGAGAAAGCTTTTGGGATCTTCTGGAAGAACCCTGAGGCCCTGAAACTTCTGGTTACGACTTAGTATCCGGCCATTTCCATTGTTCTCTGCATTGTCATTTTAGAGTGGCCAAGCAATCCTCGTGTGGGAAAAAAGTAAGAATGTTCTGTTTCTCTCGCAGTGCCTTACAAAAGAGCACCTGGAAGTTGCGGAAGTTTACTTTGCAAGCAAGTTATCCTCTTTTTAGGGAAAGCATACGGTGCGGAAGTTTTCCCCCTTTATTCCGACCAGATGAGCCTCTCTGCCAATATCCTCCAGCTGCCATCTGACGTGCGTTTATGGGCTCGGGATTCACAATGTACATAAGGAAAGATGCTAGAATCCTTTCAACATGTGAGCATGCTGGGTCACTTGCCACAACCAGTTAAACCAGTAGCATCCCATTAAATGCTTACAGCTGCTGAAGTCTAATGATCAGAAAGGACCACATGCTGGCCGGAGTAAGAGCTTCTTCCCAGGATGAGCCAAACTCTCAACAATATCATCTCTTCTTTGCAGAGAAGTGGAACATTCATCAATTCCTTAATTGCTGCTTTGACCATTGGTGGGCAGCAACTGTTCTCCTCGTTCACGTTCAGATGTCCTTGTCAAGTTGGGAAGAATCTCCCTTACGGCTCTGCTTTTCTAGTAATTCCTGCCTTGATCCTGCTGATTGCTGGCTATGTTCTGCGAAGCCAAACCTGGCCAATTACCACCGAATACTGCTGTAGCTGTGCCTCTCCACGCCGCCAGATCAGGTCCCTGGAACGCAGGCTGGCTTGCCTTCGGTTCTTCAGCATCACCGGCAGAGCACTTGTTGCTCCATTAACGTGGCTGGCAGTGACCCTACTAAGGGGCACCTACTATGAATGTGCTGCAAGTGAGTTTACCTCTGTGGAGCATTACCCGGTCTTTGACAACATCAGTGGCAGCGAACGAGAAGAGATCCTGGCTGGGTTTCCCTGCTGCAAATCAGCTCCCTCTGAGGTGACCCAAGTGAGAGATGAAGTGACTCTTCTGCACAGATTCCAGTCTCAAGTAAGTTCTCAATATCTTATCTGCAAAACAATCTTGTATTAAATATAATCACTAGAAACATCTCATCTCCCTGCTGCTGCTTACCGTATGTACTCGAGTATAAACCGACCCGAATGTCAGCCGAGGCACCTAATTTTACCACAAAAACTGCATTAAAAATGTGCTGAAAACTTGGCTTACACATGAGTATATACGGTATATATTGTAGAATACCAACAAGATGTCATTCATAAGAGTGTTCTAGAGAGCCCATGCGAATGATGCTAGGAGGCTGAGTTTTGGCATCAGCGAGCGGGGCTTGAGTCCTGCTTTTCCACTTACTACAATGCCGACTAGAGCACACTATTTAACTTCTCCGTGGCTCATTTTCCTCAGGTGTAAAATAGAAATCTTAACATTACTATTACTGCATAGAATGATTTTTGAGGACTAAATGAGCTATTATTGCTAAAGTGCTTTGTTCTGTTCCCAGAATCTGTATTATAAGTAATACAATCAAAATAATATTAGTATTATCACTATTGAATTATTAAAATCCATGTTTCCAGCTATATATATATATATATATATATATATATATATATATATATATATATATACATGTATCTATTTTCTTAATTATGCATCTTTGTCTATTACAATTGCATATAAAACTAAAGGAATCTTCATTAGGATTAAAGAATAAACTCCATGGTGGTTCTAGATGTAGTATTCATAGGCAAGTTGGTGTTTGCGGGGTGAGTTGGGGAGTGCCTGAATCTACTGTGCTTTATGTTCAAAAGGGAAAGAAATGCAAATGTGCATTTTTCTCTGTAGAAAAAGAACCACTAACTTTCATCAGTTTCCCCATGGGATTTAGGACAGTAGAACATGCTTTTACGTTATTGTGATACAGAACACCTGCGACCGGAATACTGCTCTATGGCAAAGGCAAAGGCTTTGTGATCCAATGACCTTCCGGTCGCTCAAACTTAGAAGAGATCATTCTATTCAATTGGGGAGGGGGGGGAGCATAACAACACGCACAAACACAACCGAGATGCAGAATGCCAAATGCTCAGTTGATCTAGTTTAAGCAACGGTGACAATCTCACCCAGATATGCCTTTGTTTTTAACCATTTTCATTGTATAGTTCTGAGTGCCACCAGGCCATGGGGTCTTTTGGTTAATAACAACAAAACGAACATCTGTAGAGATGCTTATCACATACTTTATAACTACCTTCATTCCACCTTTTGTAACCTTAAGAGACAGGTGCTGCTCTCACTCGACAGGTGAATTAATCAAAGATCAAAGAGCTAGCACAATTTACCTAGCTAGATTCATGCAACTAATAAAGACCAGGGTGTGGCCGTTTCTATGGCTATATTCCTGCCCACTTCCAAATTCAGCCTCATGCGGGGCATCTACACTGGTTTTCACTTGAATTTTTCTGAAGTAGCCACACAATCATATTTAACTTAAAGTCTCTCTCTGCCCAGACACCTTTCTAAAATATCTTCTTCCTGCTCTGTCTTCTTCACACAGCCATGCCAGCATTTTCTTTCTAAAAGCAACCCAGAAGCTGTGGTTTCCCTGCATGAATTGTCTCAATTACCCTCTACCATTCCAACCACAAAGGCAGATTCCTTTGGTTGACATACAAGGTCTCTCAATAGCCGCAATATCCTCGTTTCAGAATAATTCCTGTGACCTGTGAATCCAAATTTCTGAAAGGTTTCTGAACTCTTCATGCTTTTGTTTTTCTACTTCCTTCTTTTATTCAAACTATCCTCAACTTTTAAAATGTCTGGCAGTGATATCTAACCTCCTTCAACTTCATAACAGGCCATAAGCACCATCAACACCATCACCCCACGGCTGATTCCTGTGAGGACTTCAGACGTATCTCCTCTCCCCAGATGTTTTACCAATTCTGACACCAACTGCCCCTCCCATGCCACTCTTGACTTCAATGCTGGGTCTGACAATTTGTTGCAATGGTCACACAGAACTCGCGGATGATAATCACAATTAAGGAGTTGAATGGGGAAGTAAAAGGCTACAATTTAAGATAAAAAGATCTCTCCTTCCCCCACACCCAAAAAAAAAAAAGTCCCAAGATACAGTTCTTCTATCAGGAAAGCCTCTCTATTTGGTCTTTGGCTTCTTGAGCCAGGCTGGCCTTTGCTGTATTCAGGCAAATGCTACAAAGCTCTTTAGCTCCACCAATACATGTCCAGAGACACCTCACTCCACCAGCAAGGCACTCAGCTTTTTGCTCTCTGAGCTGGGAATCGCACAGTTCTGCCTCCTGCCAAGCTCCTGATTGTATTTCTGCTGCCGCTGCCATGTCTCTGACACTGCTTCTTGCACTCTGTGGTGAGACAGCAATCCTGAGTCTAGGCGCTTCTCAGCACAGGGTAATAGTCTCCATCATGCTCTGGAATTGGCTCTATTTTTCAGCAAAGTAGGATGACATAACTGTCTAATCCCTTGTTTAGGCACACGCATCTTCTCTGCACCTAAATTAATACACTGTTCAATCCCGTGGTGGGCCACAAGCCCTTGATATGGATAGTGCCACCCAATCATTTGGTGGGTGTTATAATTGCCAGAAAGTCCATATAAAAGTAAGTAATTGCCCTGTGCCAATTCCTTGCATCTGGTTAACTTCTCTTTACCAACTTAAGTCTCAGTGTCAGCAATGTTTCCTCTAGGGATTGTTCCCAAATAGCCTTCTCCCTCTGGAGTCGATTTCTCTCCCATTAAGTTTCTCCAGCACCCGATGTTTACCTATACCAAAAATTATTCTACTGCACCACATTTCGTGGTTTGTTAGTTTACCTCCCTCTTTAAGCTTAAAGGTTGTGGTGAGAATTGATGTACAGTGAACCCTCGTTGATCGCGGTTAATCGGTTCTAGACCCTACCGTGATAAATGAAATTCCGCGAAGTAGGATTCCTTATTTGTAAATCAAATATTTTCGTAGTTAGAGCATAAAGGACATGAAAAAACACCCTTTAGTCACCATTACACTCGTATTACCCAATTTATTAAATGAAAAAGGGAAAATGCAGTAAAACATTTTGGACGTTACAATTATCATTTATTATTTATTATATTATGAAGTACATTGGATGGAGCGAACGGAAGACTCATTCAAGTCGAAATGGCGTGCAACCTCCACGATTTTCTTGCCATCTTTGATCATATCCAAAAGTTTTACCTTTTCCTGGATGGTGAGCATCTTCCTCTGGCGCTTATTTTTATTGTCAGAAGGCTTAAAAGAAGCAGCTCGTTTTAGCTCCGATACGTAGCGATGCAGACAGAAGCGTGTACAGTATGAGCCAATCAGTGGCAGTAATGACAGAGCATGCGCTGTTATGCAGAAACCGCGATAGAGTGAAGCCGCGGAAGTCGAAGCGCGAAGTGGCGAGGGTTCACTGTATCTTGAATTATTTACATCTCAGCTCCCATAACCAAGCACTGTGTCCACACAGTGATGGGAGCCTAACCTGGAGTTCAGTAAGTGATAAGTGAGTTAAAGGGTGTCTTTCTTCCACCCTGCTGACCTCTAATAAGTTTAAATAATAATGAAATATCACTTCGCAGGTTTTAACCTTCAAAAAGTACAACTATGAGCTCTGGTATTATAGTAGGTTACTCATTGGGCAAAGTGCCAGGCCGACTGTTCAAACCCACCAGCTGCTTCATGAGAGAAAGATGAAGCTTTCTGCTCTCATGAAGATGTGTAGTCTTGGAAACTCACAGACCAAGTGTACTCTGCTCTATATGGCCACTATCAGTTGGAATCAACCCAAGGGCAGTGCAAGGTTTTGAACGTGCAACTATGCGTATACATGAAGGAACTTCAAAACGTTTGTGGGGAAAATTCATTTTATTTTAATGCAATTTGTTGAGCACAGACCCCTGGTAGATCTGGATATGTGATTTTGCTCTATACCCAAGTGAACATCTGTCACTCCTCCTTGGGTACGCGTTGCTATTGCTTGGTACTGACAAGGAGATTCCACATCATACCAGCTACTTGAAACAGACCAAAAATCCCCTATTGGGTCTTCTTGGCTGGGATCTTTACAGCAGTAGATCATCAGGTATTCTCCCCCCACTACCCCACCCCCACCCCTACTCCCCACCATGGTTGGAATCACCAACCCTTGGGATTTCAGCAGAACGTGTCACCAGCTCTCCTTTGTTGACATTTGAGAGACTGCTGAGAGAAAACAAGGCACGGACACACAATTCAGCTCTCAACTTTGTAAGAAGCCTGCCTATCATGGCCGTTTCTTGATAACCGAATGACTTGTTGCTTTCTGTCTTCCCTCTTCCTAATCCTGTGAAGATGCTGGGCTGGATTTTGATAACCTTGGCGATCACGGCTCTCCTGATCTCCTCCTGCGTGGCAAGGTGTTGCTCTCCGCTCTCCTCTCTGCAGCATGACTACTGGACCACTCACCTGCACAACGAGAGGGAGCTCTTCCGACAAGCCGCCGAGCAGCACTCGCGCATGCTCATCAGGCAGCGCATAAAGAAACTCTTCGGCTTCATTCCCGGGAGTGAAAACATTGAAAGCATCCGCATTCCTTCTTGCCAGGACTGGAAAGAGATTTCGATACCCAATTTTCTATGCATGGGGAATGACTCGCAGGGTCACTATAGCTTCCTTGGAGACAGGCTGGGAGAGGACAATGAGGAAGGCAAACCAGAAGTTATTGAATTAAAACTTTGAATATGGTAGCTATTCCACAGTTCAGGTGACAAAACAGATACTTTATTTTTATGATGATGGAGTTTCTGTTTAATCTCTTCATCGTTCTCTTTTTTTTCTGATACATAAATCCACCCCAAATCCTATTTCTAAAATCAACTATCGCTCCCATTTTGAAACTTAATTGACCGTCTGGTGATGCCAAAGTGTCTATAGTGATCAAATAAAAGCCATCTGGAATTTGAAATCACATCAAAATTTGAATGTTGGTTCGGTTCTTTCATAGCTGTCTGAGAAAATGGTGTGTCATGTTGTCATCTGTAGAGTGACAGCAAAGTTCGTAGCACAACGCTCTTCATAAAAGATGTGATAATAAATGCTAGCTTCTCTTTTCCTCCTTGCCTTCCAATGAGTACTGTCAGTTTTCTCTGTCCCTATTTATATATATTTTCCCTCTTTTTAAACTCAATTTGCAATATTGAGGGATTCCATGGACAAAATAGTGAACAACTCCAGAAGCTACAAAAGAAGACTACACAGAGTCACGGTGCCCAAAGAGAACTGTTTTATTTAATCATTTCACGATGTAGCATATGATTAAGGATCTGTGATATTGAAGGAAGACATCTAAGCACACTGACGGCACTGGCTCCCGGGATGGATGGCATACCGATGGACATGTTTAAGAACAGATAGACGCAGGGCCGGGAGCATCTACTTGTCTATGCCAAGAGATGTGGAAGACAGTGACCTTGCCAATTAACTGGAAGGAATCGATGTTTGTGTCCATTTTAAAGTAGAGTGATCCAAATGATAGAGGAAATTATCAAGCAATATCACACACACGACATATAAATTTTTCCCCCAATACAAGTTTAAAACAATTGAAGCAATACATCAACAGGGAACTGCCAGATTCAGAAGGGGCTGGGGCTCAGGACTTAAACTAGCATGTTGCTAATATGAGGGGTCTCGATGGAAAACAGAGAATACCAGAAAGATACATCCAACCCAAATCACTGCCATAGAGGCAACTCTGACTTACCATGACCCTTGAGGGCAGGGTAGAACTGCCCTTGTGAGTTTCCAAAACGGTAACTTTGTTGGGAGTCGAAAGCCTCATCTTTCTCCCAAGGAGTGGCTAGTGGTTTCGAACTGCAGTTTTGCAGTTGGCAGCGTAATGCATAACCATTATACTATCTTGTCTCCTAGAAAGATGCTTTCCTGTATTTTATTAACTATGCAAAGACATTCTATTCTATAGCTCATAAAAAGACTAAGGATAATATTGCAAATAATGAAAATACAACAAGACTTCATTGTGCTCATTTGAAACTTATGCACAGACTAAGAGTCATTCCAACAGAATAATGGGCTTCTGTGTGATTTGAAATCAGGAAAGGTGTGCATCAGGGTCATATCCTTTCACCATATTTACTCAATGTATGTGCTAAGCAAATAATCGTAAGAACTACATGAAGAAGAATCCTGCTTTAGGATTCACAGCCTGAGACATTCAGACGACATCATTGCTTGCTGATGCTGAAGAGGACTTGAAGCACTTACAGATGAAGACCAAAGAGTGCAGCCTTAAGTATGGATTATAGCTTAATATCATGAAAGCAAACAAGCCTCAAGACTGGACCTATAAGTAACATTATGAAAAACGGAAAAAAGATGGAAGGTTGTGGGAAACTAAGAAGGTCATTCCCGCAGATTCTCCCCCAACAGCTATGCTGCCTTAAAGTGAGCACGTGGTTGATTCTTTCTCCCTGTAGAGGCAGACATTGCCTGAGTAGCTCCTCCCACTGAGGCGCGCGTCCCCCCTCATGTCTTCTCCCAGTGCAGGGATTAGGAGTCCTCACCTCACCTGCGAGCTCAGAGACTTTACTGTGATTTCCACCCACCTTGTGACATATGGAACTCCTGACTATACATGACTAATGGCTCCCTATAAAAGCCCCCAAACAATAAAGACGCTCTCTCCTCTGGTCCCTTCTTCTCCGGTCCCGGTCTCCCTCTCCCCCTGTCCTCCTTCCCCGCTCTCTCCCCCTGCCATTCCCACCTTCCACATCCTCACGTGGACCACCACGCGGGGCTGAGGTGAGCATGCCACCATGAAATGTGACTGACTCCTTCATTTTACGTTCTCTTCTCTCTCTTAGTCCCTCTGACTTTACCGTAATCTTCCCATACTATCGCGGCACAATTGTGCCTGCCAGCGGGGCCTGCGAGGATTTGTTAGGGGCTGGCTCCCCTGACAGAAGTTGGCAAGGATTTCGTTCCACGTGTATCCACAGTAAATTCCCATGGAAGTCGCAGTCAAGAGATCAAGTGACAGATTGCAGTGGGCAGATCTGTTGCAAAAGGCTTTTGGAACATGTTCAAGAGCAAAGATGTTACTTTGAGGTCAAGGTGCCCCTGACCCGAGTCATGATATTTTCAGTTGCCTCATATACAGGTGATAGCCGAACAACAAATAAGGAAGGCCGAGGAAGAATCGATGCATTTGCATGACGGTGTTGAAGAACGCTGAAAATCCCAGAGACAGCCAGAGAGAGATTTGACTTGAAGGAGGATAGGCCCTGCTCTCTGGAAGTGAGGATAGTGAGAACTCGTCTCGGGTACTTTGGATGTGTGGTCAGGAGGGACCTGTCCTTGGAAAAGGATCTCCTGCTTGGTAAAGTAGAGGGGCAGCAATTAAAAGGAAGACGCTCGGCGAGATGGATAGACACAGGGGCTGGTACACTGGGCTCAACATAGCAATGACTTGGGGGATGGTGCCGGACAAGCGGTATTTTGTTTGGTGTACAGCATAAGGGCACTATTAACAGGATGCGACTCGACAGCATGTCACAAGAGCAACAATACCATGCCCAGGGCATTGTCACGCTTCTGCCTCTCTTCGAGTTTGAGAATCAGGCCAAAGAGTTCTTTCTAATGGACACACATGAGAGAGAAGAACATACAAGGTCTTATGTCATCCTACCATAACCAGGTCAAGGTGATGCATCATTATGTCATTGTTAGTATCATAAATGTTCTTTGTAACACCTACATGCTAGGAGCATTTTTATAGCCACTACATATAAAGTGGATTCTAAAGAGCTTCCCAGACTCTGTGCTCTACCATGGGGACATTATTCCTGACTGTTCTGACGTGTTATTATCAAATTGCACCTTTGCACTCATAATCTATTTGGGGAACCAAGACTGCAACCTATACTTATATATACTTAGAGTTCCAAGAGGGCGTACTGGCCTGACCGCTCCCTGACTTGACTTTATTAAATGGACCTCTAGTATCTGACAGCTTTCTAATTTACTTGATGGTTCATTGGCTGAAATAAGTCATTGGAGGGCTTTCTTTCTTTTTAGCTATAGTAATGATATCTTACTGGACAATGGACTCGCTGCCAACCGCCAACTGGATTTTCAAGATTCGCTTTCAATGATGATAGCAGACTTGACTATTTAAACCGCGATCAACTATTCGATTATATGTTTCTATACAATTATGGAAGATAGAATCTATTGTGTGAAAAATTCTGGGAACCTTAAACCCAACAGGAATAAATAGTAAGTGAATTTTAAAGAAGAAATGTTTTCTGTTCTTGTGTTTTGCTTTATCAATGAGAGAGTGTGCAACATAGCACTTTGCTAAGGTAGGAGACCTGTCATGTCCTTGCCAGTATTAGTTACTTAACCCTGGGCAAGTCAGCCTCTCTGAGACTCAGTTGTTACATCTGTGAAATAGGGGCAATGATACCTTACCTGTTGGAAGGCAAGGAACTGAACTAAATGAATTCTTTTTTAAAATCATTTTGTTGGGGACTCTGAAAGCTCTTACAACATTCTATACATCAATTGTATCAAGCATAGTTGTACATATGTTGCCATCATCATTTTCTAAACAACTAAATGAATTCTTGAGGGTCCTTTAAATTTAGAAAGATTTCAATATTCATGTTTACATGTATCTGTACACATATGTGTACATTCATCTGGAATGGCACTAGACCAGGTGCTTGCAGAAGAAAATTGCATGCATCACTGAGTTTGATTCTAAGATTTCTCTGGAGACATTTATTGACATGCCATTTTTAGAAGTGGCCATGGAGAACTATTTCAGTTTATTACCAGATTCGACACCCTGGACTGATATGGCCTTGCAAGAGGGATTTAAGAAAACAAAACAAAAAGGTACACTGTGGAAGGTTCTGGTTTTGTTCTGACATCAACTAGTTGTGTGTACCTCAGTGGGGAAATCAAGCAATTACTACACAGATTTTTTGAAGTGCGCTCCTGGATGTCACAACCAACTTAAGGTCGACTCTAACTCCTTCTCTGAGAATCTTTGGAATTCCTCAGTATTGGGACATATACATAATACACTCTATATTGTATTCAGAATTACTTTATCAATGTTCAGGGACATGTACCACAGTAAAGACTCTCCAGGAAGATGTTCAGTTTACAGCAAACCCGAAGCATGTCCTGACAGTATTGCATGCGTTATCAGAAATAAAATGAATGGTTGTTTATACCCTAATGCCAGGAAACTTTATTTCCACTAGCTTCTGGAAGCCCCCTTTTCCAGTGAGGTGTTTTAGGACATAATGTGCTCAGGTTATATTTTAAACCAGTTAAAAATGAGCTTCTGTAACTCTCTATGGAAAGACTACACTATTTTCTGACGCTTCTACATGGCTTCAATGTGTTTAAAGCTCTATGTGAACACTTAAAGATAGTAAGTAGATACTCTTGGGTTTCCTTGTATATTATACATTCCAAATGAAATGAAATTCCCTGACATTTCCCCCCCCTTGGGGGGGAGGGGTGTCTAGAGAATTCTTTTGTACCACAGCTAATTAGACAAACCGTTTCTATTAAGAAACTGATACTTCCTCCCCTTTTTGCTTAATAGGTTTATAGCATTATGAAGCATGTAATTACAATCAATTATCTGCTAATACTACCTTATATTTTGCTATCAAATGATTTTGGATACCACATCAAAT